TATAAATATATATATATTTCTATTGGAAACATAGGCTTATACTGTCTGCATCTATTGATGTACTTCACGGATTTTTCTTCTGGTTATTGGTGAAGGGGGCTTGACAATTCGGGAAAGACAACAATAGTGATGAAGATCAATGGTGAAGATACGAGTGTGATCAGCCCCACGCTTGGTTTTAACATCAAAACCATCACTTACCAAAAGTAGGTATTCATTTCATATGTATGGAGATTGGGGAGTTGGGACAAAATTATTGTAGTTCGTTCTTGGTATTTCATGCAACTATGAATGAAAGTGGCATTATATTGGTAGGTATACTTTGAACATATGGGATGTTGGAGGGCAGAAAACCATAAGGTCGTATTGGCGGAACTATTTCGAGCAAACAGATGGGTTGATTTGGGTGGTGGATAGTTCAGATCTTAGAAGACTGGATGATTGCAAATATGAGTTAGATAATCTTCTCAAAGAAGAGGTACAATTCAAAATCTGTTCTTTTTGTCCCTTTAGCAACAATTTTATGTCTGTACAATCATTTTTGTCAAAATGTGATAGAAGCCCTTTTGTGTATTCCATTGACTTTTCTGGAGATGTTTTCATGAATGCCATGAGTTGAAGTGCTCGTTCTGGAGTTTTTTAATGCTTCTGAACTTTTTATTTTACTAGGGAACTTGTGAGGCCTTTGAATTGCATCAAAATCTTGATTTTGTTTGTCTGTGAAGATGATAATACTACTGCATTTTTTTATGGGAAATGTTGCTTTATGTAGTCTTTTATTTGTAATCACTTCGCTGATGAACGATTGCTTGTGCTTTTAAGTTGAGTATGCTACTTCAGGATACATCTTTACTAGTTCATATAAATGATTTTTTTTTTTTTTTTTTCCATCTGTGCTTTCATCTGTGGAGTTGTTTCTTTTGGGGATTTAACATAAATATGCTTTGAATCTTGAAAGCATTCATTGGCAGTGGCCAAAATTTATCCCTTTTCAATCATCAGGACTTGGAACGTTTCCATTCATGAGAATTGAAAAGACTGTAATATACTAATATGTTCCCAGTCGAGAATATAATGATTCAGCTTGCCGAGGAAAAGTTTTTGACATGCCCTTTCTAATTCCTTGTCGCTATCTTTAACCTGGGTTTTATTATTTCATCCAGAGGCTATCAGGAGCATCATTATTGATTTTTGCAAATAAACAGGACATACAAGGTTCTCTCTCGCCTGATGACATTGCCAAGGTAATGACAAGTTCTTTGATTTCTTGAGTTTAAGTGGTCATTCTTTTGCAGTGAGGTCCTTCTTGTAAAATATTGAGAGTGGGGTGGCTTTTCTGGCATTATTTTGGAGGAATATCTCTTAGCTTAGGTTCTCACTTGACACACACTACCAGTAGATGTACATATGCAAACCTGAGGGGTTATTTACGTAAATTACTCCTGAACCCAGTTCAGTTAAAAAGTAGCTTTTTTTTTTTTTTTTTTTTTTTGAAATTACAGTTACTCCAACTTGTTCCTATTTGACAGTAGAGGGAGGTGGGGGTGGGTTGGGGATATTACTGAAGTAAATACATAATGTATACAGAAATCCTTTGTTTTTTTTTTTTAAATATTTACATTAAATTTATATCTAAAATAAAATAGTTTCAAAACTCAATCATGATTTATATTAAATTTTATATATTTATTTGTTGTTGTTTGTTTTAAGTTCTGAAAAAAAAAAAAACAAAAAAAACTAAGACATGATAAATCTGTGTGATTCCTATGGCTAATCCCATGGATTTGAATTTTGCAATCCTCGTGAGAACTCAATCCTATCTCTGAAGTATACCAACCATGGGTCTCAAAATGTGTAAGGGTATCACCCATAGTTTTAAATCCAGGACTGGTAATTGACCCAAGCTAGACTTCGGGTAACCGGGTCACCAGTCCAACCGTCGGGTCACTGGGTCGATTGTTGAATCGGTAATAATTGTTATAAAATTTTGAATTATATTTATATTATTTTTATCTTATAACTATACATAAAATAATAAAAATATTTATGTGTAATATACCCCAAAGTCTTAATATTATTGTTTTTTGTCATAAATATTTATCACATAAATATATATGTATATATATATATATATACATATATATACATACATATATACACTTATACATATACATATACATATATATGTATATGTACATATGTACATATACATATAAACATACATATACACATATGTATATACATTTATATATGTATATATATATATAATTTTATTTTAAAAAATAAAAAAGGTAAAAAGCAAAAAAGTAAATAGACAACCTGCCGGGTCAATGCCGGTGATCGGATCCCTTGCTACTTAGTTCGAACAACCCATCCGGACCGGTCCCAGTCTTGGGTCAACCGGGTCCCGGATCAATCCGCCGGGTTGGGGCTCGTTTCAAAACGCTGTATCACCATGTGATTCCATCATATCAATCTTGTCATAAGTCATGAGGATGTTTGTTAGTCTTGTCATAAGGGATGTTTGTAATTCTGAAAGATAACAACATTTTTGTGATTAGGCTAAAACCTCTAAGAGCATCTTCAATATACTGTTGAAGGAAAAAAAAAAATGTCGTGTCATTATTGAAGACAATGTCTTCATATTTATATCTCGATGGACTCTGTCATGGTCCAATTTTTTTTGACGTGGCATGATTACTGTAGAGCGCACTATTTGAAGGTAAACAGTGTATTCAACAGTAAACGTGCCAAAATTTGTGGAATCGTGAAGAATGTAATTACAATTTTTATATTTTAAAAATTATACTATTTTGTATTTACTTGATACATAAAAGTAACACATTTTTATATTTCATAATTAAAAAAAATAATTATTTACTTGATACATAAAAATAACACTGAATTTAATTAAATTTGCATATTTAAAATTTAATATCTTGTATTTGCTTGATCATTTTTTTACAGTAATTAATTTTTTCTTTCCAAAATTTATTCCTTATTTTAATATATATAATGTTGGAAGATGAAAGTTTCCTTCTTTTAATTAAAAAATTACTTTTATAATTTATTTATTTTTGGGAAATTAAAACTATTTTTTCTTTTTTAATTAAAAAAATAAACGTTGTTAAATAATTAAAATCTGAAAGCTGGAGTCTCAATATGTTTTATCCAATAATCTGGTTAGTCCTGAATAAGTTGCTTTATCATTTTTGGTTTACAAATGACGTGAAGGAAAGCACAACATTGGATATAGTTTTACACTGTTATATTCTACGATGTCAACAATGATGTTATAGAAAATCACAATCCATTTAATAACTGCTATGTGGCATGGATATTTTAACATCGACTTGTACACTAGAGATGCTCTAAGGTAGTTTTTGGTGCTTGACCATAAATTTTTTGGGTTGTAGTAGAATTAGATTTAGTCATGTGACACATTTGATTGTCATATACTGTCCCAATTTTTCCAGGAGGGCGTGGAAGGAGCTAATTTGATTAAAACGACGGTATCTGGTTTTCTAAACAATTCTGTAACTCAAATTAAAGTTTACGTTTTCTACATCAGGTACTCAACTTGGAAGGCATGGATAAGAGCCGACACTGGAAAATTGTTGGATGCAGCGCCTGTACTGGGGATGGACTGCTTGAGGGGTTTGATTGGTTGGTTCAAGACATTGCCTCACGAATTTACATGCTTGATTAAAATATGTATTGCAGTTTGATGTGAACTGTAATCCTGGATTGATGACATCTTTTTCGACATGTTTTTCATTTAGTTGACTACTGTCTAATCAAGCTACCTGCATGGTCAAAATACTATGATAAATTCTTTTTTTTTTTTTTTTTGGGAAAAATTGCCCAGATTGGCCCAAATCTTTGGGGGCAGGTCGGTCATGCCTCGTATTCAAAATAGAATGGGTCGTGTCCTCATTTTATGAGCGGGGCATGCCTGGGTACTAAACATTGGCCCGCCCCGGCCTGTGTATAGTTTCAACATAAGAATGTGATGAAGAAATCCATATAAGCTTATCAGAATTTTTGGTGGTAATGAGTTTGAGAGAATGTGAAAACCTACAAGTATGTTTCTTTCGAGGGAGCTGGGTCCTCTTACTCTATATATCTCAACAAAGTGTTTCATCTTCTTTCGGGGGAGCTGGGTCCTCTTACTCATCTACATATCACAACAAAGTGTTTCATTATATACCTCAGTATGTCCATTGCATACCTGTGATAATCCACATAAACTAGCAGTGTACAAAATTATAGAATCAATAAACTCAATATGTGTAGTCATGCAATGATGATAGTGAAGTGTAATATGTACTTCTGAGTCAACTTGCAAAGTGATATCCTCCATCTGTGTCTGTTCTGTGTTACCTATAATGTCAATTCGGCCTAGCATGTGAGTTAACTGAGATCTCCGTTTCCTTGCAATTGTTTAACATCCACATCACTTGCTGTATTGATTGCATTATTCCATGGCGATAAGGTGGTTCTCAAAGTTTGCTAAACTCTTGTGCTATGCATTCATATACTCGTGATGTTTGTGCATTAAGCGGCTTTCAGGTGCGGTTGCGTCGTTGTAAAATCTTCTACACCTGTTAGACTTAATTGTCAAATATCTACAATCAATTTCCCATTTTATTATATGGCTATCTTGTTACAAATCAGAGTTCCTGGCTTCTATTTATATTAGGTATAGTACTTTCACATTTTATCTTTTTGTATCTTTAGTTATTTTAGACAAACTATGAATACTTCTCACGTAACACATTATATTCACTTTCATTCATTCAACCCTAATACACCAAATCTGCAGTTATTTTGGACAAGTATAAGCGATGTTGTAATTAAGATAACGGTAAGGTAGACAGATACATTCATTTTTTTTCCCACGTGACAAGATTGTAGATGAAAAAGAAAAAAAAAAAATGTGAAAATGATTAAAAATTGCGAGTGACCGACAATTCCAAGTATTTAATCCAACTAGTTGGAATCGTGCAAACTGATAGCCACTAATATTCAATTGTTCAAATTGCCATCTGCAACAAGAAGATAGGAAGTTGCGTTTTCGCAGTTTATCCCAACGAGAAAACTATATATAGTTCACTTTATTTCCTTCAGCGTTCCGTAGAATCTGAAGCCTGTAGACAAAGGCTCACAATTACAAGCTAGAGATGACGAAAGTAACAACCCACTTTATGCGAAAATTCAGCCCATCTGAGCTTTTCTGCATCTGTCACTCTTGGTGGTCATATGGAGCATAACAGTCAGCTGCTACATTTATTTATATAAACTTTCTGGGCCTAAATCTAGCATTCCACAGCATAATTAGCCGAATTTGAGAGGTCTGTCTAACGGGTAAACTTGTTAACATCTTGCATGACCACACGCGCAGCATTACGTCCTGGGGCACCCATAACCCCGCCCCCTGGATGAGCTCCACTCCCACACAGATACAGGCCTTTTAATGGTGTCCTGTAGTTTGACCAACATCAATGGAAATATAACATTATCATTAATTTTGAACTTTTTTTTTTCCAGTCATAACAACAAGAGCCTCCCCCATGTCATAGCCAATAATTAATGAGTTAAAGCCCGAGGCATATTCTTCAATAAGATCAAAGCATCTTTGAGCGAATGATTTCTGTGCCACAATTTCAGCATTCAGAAACATTTGGAGATCAACTAATGCTGCTATTACTAGCGATCTGGCGAAAACAGTCTAAACAACATCATCGTGAAGTCCATGTCCTTTCAGCAGTTACTAAAAGCAGAACCAATAAGCACCAATATAGATTTATTAACAGTTCCCTTTGAAAAAAAAAAAAAAATCTATTCTTTCCAAACCCCACTCGAAAGAATTCTCGACCACCTTATTGCACAAAACAGTGTTATCCAATGATGGTATGGCATGGCCGATTTTTGACAATAACCATTCTAACCTAGGAGGTCATTTTCACACAGTTCCAGAATAACGGGGTTTGTAAGCCCAACTTACCAAAATGGAAATCGAATACATTTAAGAACTTGAGACATATCAGATGCTAATGTTTCTCCAGACAGTGATCAGTTCGGTTCATAAACACGTCAGCTTTCGGGTTTCAGAAGCAATGGCAATTTGTAATCTTTGTAGTTAAACCAACCAATGTCCACCCTTATCCCAGTAGGCTGCTTTAGCTGAAGGGTCGTCAATAAGATGTTAAGTACACAAATATATGCTTACAGTTAGACTTACTGCAAATCAAAACTAATAGGATCAAAGTTGCTTACCTAAATCCTTTTTAAATTTTAGATTTTATTGAAATAATAAAATATATGTATAATTGTGAACTGTTTAACCAATTAACAACTCTTTTCAGTGACCCATAACAACTCATCACCAACTCTACCTCTTTAAAAACAGAGTCACCACCATATAACAACTGAGAAGATAAGAAGAAAAGAAAAAAAAATAAAAAAATGGTGAACCTCGTAGCAGCACAGCGCCCACTGCTCCACGGGCTGATGAAAATGGCGGGCGTCGTACCGCACTCCGTCCAAATCGACGCCGGCACAGTCATGAACATATGGGTCCCATCGGAGACCCTAAAAAAAAAGCCAATCAACAGGCCCACGAAGCCCGCCGTGGTCCTCGTCCACGGATTCGCCGCCGAGGGCATCGTGACGTGGCAGTTCCAGGTCGGATCCCTCACCAAGAAGTACGCCGTGTACGTGCCGGACCTCTTCTTCTTCGGCGGTTCCGCCACGGACAGCCCCGACCGGTCGCCGGAGTTCCAGGCGAGGTGCCTGGCCAAGGCCCTGAGGAAATTGGGCGTGGAGCGGTGCACGGTGGTGGGGTTCAGCTACGGCGGCATGGTGGCGTTCAAGATGGCCGAGATGTGGCCGGATCTGGTGGCGGCGGTGGTGGTCTCCGGTTCCATCTTGGCCATGACGGACTCGATAAGCAGCGCCACGCTGGGGGAATTGGGGTTCTCTTCCTCGTCGGAACTTCTGCTGCCGACGTCCGTCGAGGGCTGCAAGGCGCTGCTCAAAGTTGCCGTTCACCGGAATCTCTGGTTTCCCGATCGACTCCACAGAGACTTTCTTCAGGTGCGCGTCTGCCAATTAGTTGTTTCCATATTTTTTCTAGAAGTTTCGTTTTATTAATTTTTCACACTTTTTTGATGAGTTAATTAATAAAATAATTAATTAACAGGTGATGTTTAACAACAGAAAGGAAAGGGGTGAGCTACTTGAAGGCCTATTGGTCACCACCAAGGAAACTAACATTCCTAACTTTACCCAGGTATATATGTTAGGTAGATGTTACAGTCTCGTTACAGAATCATTTATTCGGGTTTATAACTATTAGATCATCATGTAATCGTCGGGGATAGCTGATCTAACAGTTACAAACCTCGACAGAATGATTCCGTAATGGAACGTAGCATTTTCCTCTATTTTATCTCCTAAAATCACAAAACAAACATCAATTTTGCACATTGTTACTTATTAATTTATAATAATCTTTTGTTCCTTTTTTTAATTAATGCAGAGAATACATCTTCTATGGGGCGATAACGACCAAATATTCAAATTGGAACTTGCTCAGAACATGAAACAGTAACATTATTTACTAAGAAGCAATCATCTTTTTTTTTTTTTTTTTTT